TTCCCCCTTTGCCCTTTTGGGGGATCCTTTTCTTTTCTTCGGGGTTGGGAAACCAAATTTTTTTTTTTTTGCTTTTTCCCCGAGGGGAGTCCCCCCCCCCCCCCCCCCCCCCTTGTGCCCCCCCCGCCCCGCCCCGCCCCACCCGTGCTGTTTTGCTCTGACGATCGCAGAAACGCGAACTTGGCGAAAAGTGGAGCCCGCGGGGGCGCCGCCGGTTTCACGGTTTGGGTACGTGGCGGTGGTCCACAGCCACTACTTCTGCCTGTTTGGGGGATACGACGGGACCACTTGGCTAAACGACATGCACCGGTTCAACTTTGGTGAGGACATACAATATGTACATTTTTTTTTTTGTGGTCTTCACTTCAAATCCGTGCTCACAGCGCTTGTGCCGTTTACTCGAACCCGTGGTCACACAGGAGGGTTTCCCCGTGTTACTGGTGTTTTGTTTTTTTTCCCAGGAAATTGGTTTCACACTCGTTTTATGGCACGTTTGAAGCACACTGCCACGGGTATATGTCACCCTGTAGATCAGAGCTCCCTCCCCTCAAAGGATTTCGATGCGAGCTTTTTGTTTGCGTAGCGTGAGGGTTTGGGACCCTGCCGCTTTTTGGAAAAGACTGACTGATGTCAGGTCGTCTTGAGAGTTTGGACCCTGGCTGGACAGCAGTGACGGCTGTTGTTTTGGCTAGTCTGAGGCAAAAGGTGGCACGAATTTCCTTACACAGCTACTTGTAGCTGGGTGTATTTTGTTCCCGGAGTGCATGCGAGCAAGTGCACGCGCTTTCTCTGAAGCTGACATCATAGTATATGGCCATCTATGTACGCACGTGCGTATTCTTGCGGCAGCCTCCCGCTGCTCCTGTTTTCTCTTGTAGCTGTTAAGTTTCTCGGGGCATTTTTCATTTTTTTTTTTTTTCTGTCACGCTGGACACCTCCCCCATGTAACGGAAAATTAACATTGGCCTGACCACAGTTTCGAGATACATGTTGACCTTCTTCCGTTGGCAATATATGTTGAACTGTGTCCTTTGGCAATACATGTTGACCTTTTTTCCTTTGGCATATTTCGGACGACACCCATTTTATCTGTCGCTTTTTTTGTTTGTTTGTTTTTTCGGGGTGGTATAGACACGTCCTTGTGGGAGGAGGTGAACACGTCGGGACAGATCCCGTCCATCCGGTCGTGCCCCAGCTGGTGCAAGGACGGCGACAACGTCTACGTCTTCGGGGGTTACGATGGCGTACAGGTAGCTAGCTGGTAGTTTTCGTGCCTTTTGGAGAGTTGCAGGCCGCGTGCGCTGTGCGTCCAGCATTGCCCGCGTAAGGTAGTGAGATGGTTACTCTGGAGTTTTGACAAGACCTACAATGAGTTTTGTCCTTCCGGGGGCTGCGATGGCGCACAGGTATTCTGGTAGTGATTTTATGTCCGTTGCCTTTTGGAGAAGTGCAGACCGCGTGCGTGCGTGGTGCGTGCATGCGTCAGTTTGCTAGCATTTCAGAGTATCGCCCGCGCAAGTCATGACGTTGTTGTAGTATTCTGTCCTTGAACGATCGTATTGATACTTACGTGCTATCTAATGAATGCGTCTTGTCACTCTATCCTGGCTCGCCAGCTACATGGTGCCGTCATTGATCCCGACTCAACAAACGTCAGCACGTTTTCGAACCCGCGACCCCCGTCCCCCCCCCGTCCCTGACCGTGCAACCTTTTCTCTTCTCCCTCGTCCCGTTTGTCTGACTTTGTTTTTGTCCCGATTGTTTCGGCCCGTGTGTGAAATGAAAATCGACAGCGGATGAACGATTTTTACCGGTGTGATCTGGAGACGATGACGTGGGCGCAAATACCGGGGATAGGTGAGCGAGCGTGTGTGTGCCCTCCTTTCTCTCTCTCTCTCTCTCTCTCTCTCTCTCTCTCTCTCTCTCTCTTTCTGTCTCTCTCTCCCTCTGTCTTTCTTTCTCTCTCTCTCTTCGTTTGGCACCTACATTTAGATGCGTTGCTACTGGAGAGTTGTGCACCCCGGTCATGTTTGTTCGCCGCTTGTGCTGGTTGCGTTTCACGTCTGCAATGTCCTGTGTGTTAGATACCATCGTAACGGCGGTATATGCCCTGTACGCTGTTACTCTGGCCTGCTGCCCTTTTGCGCTGTGACATAACAATGTTAATGTTGTGTTGTTCGCCTGCTACTATTTTGTGGTCCTGTTGGCTTGTTCGTCTGCCTCGCACCTCTTTATGTATTTTTTGGTTGTTTTTTGTCCACTTTTTCCCGACAACTACACGACGGTCAGGCGATGTGCCGACCCCGAGATACTTCCACTCGTGCGCCGTGCACAACGGATCTATGTACGTCTTCGGGGGATACAACGGCTCCGACCGGCTGTGCGACTTCTTCGAGCACAACTTTGACACCGGCACATGGACAGAGCTTGTGAGTTGTTAACATTTGAATATTTTCATGTTTAGTTCAGTTTTTGGGCACGCAAACGTGCTGCAGGGATGTAGGTGTACCTCTTCGGGGCTTGTGTACCCTTTTCTTGCTAGTTTGCGTGTTCTTTAGATCTTCCGATGGCTCTAGCATTTTTGGGACCACGGACCGCGTCTTTGCTAGATTTTGGGATTAGCAACTGACACGAGTTTAATGTGCAGACAACAACAACAGCATTTTGACAATATTTCCCTAGGGGGACTTCGTACCTACGCGATGGGGGACGGGGGAGCATCAATTGTTCGTTCATTATGTAGTTTCAAATGTTGTTGTTGTTGTTGTTGTTGTTGTTGTTGTTGCTGCTGCTGTTGCCGTTTGCTCTTGTTGTTGCTGCTGTTGTCGGCATCCTGGCCATCATTTTCTTTCGTGCATGGTCTATTTCCGCGTGCTGTTGTCGTTTTGTGTGTGGCGTCGGTGTTGACCCGAGCCCCACTCGCTTGCTGTTCTTTCTGTTCTCCTTGTGCTCGCGACTGGCGTCGGCGGTGACGTTTTACCCAGGAGCCTCACGGAGACCTTCCGACGGGAAGAAGCAGCCTCGTGGCGCAGGTCCACGGTAACTCTCTCTTCATCTTCGGAGGCTACAACGGCCAGGTGATGTTGCGCTTGCTGCTGTCTGTCGACGCTTGCAAGGGTTGGTGGGGGTCGTCGCTCTTCTTGTTGTTGCCGCGTGTTGTTTCCACGACGGCCAGGTGATTCTCGCGCTTTCGAGTGTTGCTGTTTTTAGTCTGTCGACGTTTGCAAGGGTTGTTGGCAGTCGTCGTTCTAGTTGTTACTACTATTGGTTGGTTTGTCCCGTTGTAGGTCTTGGTCCCCTGCTGCTGCTGTCGCTGTCGTTGTTGTTGTGTGGCTGTTGGTTCTGTTGTTAGTGTTGCTGCCGTTTCTGTTGGTGTCGGTATTGTTGTTGCCGTTGGCGTCACCAGCGGCAATACCGTTCTCGCGAACTACATAGTGTGAATACTTTGCAGCTTCTTGGTCTTCCTTCGCTTGACTTCGCCTGCTGCTGCTGTTGTTGTTGTCGGCAACGACAACCCATACCATTCAGCTATGTGCACTGTGTAGCCCTTGGCTCCTCCTCTGCTTTCTGCTGCGACTCTGGTCGCTGTCCACTGTGGCCCTATCTTTTTCCGACGCCCAAATCATGATATCAGCCCTCATGTGTGCCCCCACAACAGCACAGTTAATATAGTAGAGTGGAACTCTCTTCGTTTTGCTGTCCCCTGTTGCAACCCCCCCCTCGGATAGATGTGGGCTAAGAAAAATTTTTTGAGTCACCTTTGGCGGAATGATTGCCCATTGGTGATCGGTCCTGTGGGAACAATGCTCCGTCCTCTGGTCAATGGTCGAACCGCTAAGGCATGCAAACATGAGAGTACGCTCCCCCCCCCACGATTTAAACATCACGCAGGTGGTCCTGAACGACTTCTATGAGTGGAGATTCCAGCCGTTGCTGGTCCCACCGCCCACCCTGCAGGAGGACATGCGGAAGCTGGTGAACAACCGGGAGCTGAGCGACGTGACGTTCATCGTGGACGGCTTCCCCGTGTACGCCAGCCGCGTTCACCTCGCCCTCCGGTCCGAGCACTTCCGAGCGATGCTGTACGGGGGCATGCGGGAGAGCGAGAAGGGCGCGGAGATCGAGATCAAGGTGAGATTGTGTGTGGTGGGTGTTGGGGGTGGTGGATACCTCTCGGGGAGCGAGCAAGCATCGCAAAAATGGTGTTTTGTGGGGAGATCGAGGTCAAGGTGCGTGCGTCGCACCAGCGTTCGCGAGGACAGCAAGCTTGGATTTTGTAGGGGGTACAAGGGTTTGGGTTGGGGGATAGGGTTTTACAGAGCCCCCCCTCTGTATTTCTCACGTGTAACGCTTCCCATCCTCGGTCGGGAAGGCGGTTGGTGTGGCGGGTGCTGGGTGGGAACCTTTTGGGGAGCAAGCAGGAGCATCCCAAATGTGTCTTGTTGTATATACGTGTCTTCTTCTTGGGGCGGCGGCTAGAGTCGTGTGATTGCTCGTGTGCTGTGATTGTTTGGGCACATGGTGAGGAAATATCCCGGTGCGGGTGTGACTGCACCGAGACTCGCCCCCAACCTTCAAAAGATGGCGAGGTTTTACCGAGGGAAACCACCTCTGTTGTGGTGTATCCTAGCGCGCTGGTGTGCTTTGTTCCCGTACACAACTCACGTCCCCAAACGTCAGAAGTTTGCGAGGTTACGCAGTGAAACCACTCAGCCACTGCCGTTGTGCAACCGAGCATTTACGCCTGCTATTTATCCCAAACCGCCTCCCGAAGGTTTCCATAGCTCGTTTGCGTTCTTACCCCCCTCGCTCGATGGCACTCTTGCCTCATTATTTGCTCTCGGGTGACAGAATTTACTCCATACCCCCCCCCCACTGTGATATCGATAGGGTAGGTTGGCTAAGGAAGACATTTTTGAGCCACCTTTGGCAAAGTAGGAAGGAACAAATTGGCCATCGGTGATCGGTCCTGTGGGGACAATGCTCCGACGCGTGGTCAATGGTCTAACCGCTATGGCATGCAAAACATATGAGTACGCCCCCCCCGCCCCCGCCCCACACGCTTCGTGCTTGGGGGTGTGAGAGCCTGGTCCGGTGAGAACCCGGCGTGCCCCGTCCCGGCTTTGTAGGGATGCGAGGTCAATGGTCAAACGGCTACGGCGTGCACGAATATGCCCCCCTCCCCCCTCACCGATAACCGCCTCCCTCCGGAGGTTTCCATGGTGTCCTGTCTCACGGCTCGATGACACTGTTACCCTTACCGCTTGCCTCGTGGTTGTCCTTGGGGTGGCAGGACGTGTCTCATGCGGTGTTTCTGAAGCTGCTGGAGTATCTCTACACGGACACTCTCTCGGACGTTACCGCTAACCAGGCCGTTCACCTTCTCGTCGCGTCCGAGCAGTGAGTCGAGTGGGCGTGTTTGCGTGCGTGTCTACCTTCTTGGTAGCATTGACCGCGCTAGCCGGCTGTGTTGGGATGATCCGAACCGGGGGTAGCTTGTCGCAAGACGTGTGTTGACTAGGGTGTCGGCAACCCGGCGGGCTCGCGCCGAGGAGAACACTTGTTGTGACTAGTCGTCCGCACACACGCACACACAACCCCGTTGAGGGGGCGACGCCGTATACAACAGGGGTACCTTGTACATCCCTAAAAATCATCCATTCTACGTACCACACAAATTACCCGGTATTCCGCTCTACCCCATTCCATGGGAACATCCCGTGCCATCCAATTGGCATTGCTACAAGCATATCAATCAGGTTGACCAAGGAACTTTGTCGGGAATGCTGTTTGTGGATACCCCGTGGGAATCCGTTTGACTGCTGTGTCGATGTCTCGAAAGGGGTGTCTGTGGTTGTATATGTATTTTTCCACTTCGTAACACGCGACGATACGCACGGTTTACAGGTACCTGCTGGCTCGGCTGAAGACCCTCTGCGAGGAGGCTATCCGCACGAGCATTACCGTCGACACCGTTTGCACCATCTTCCTGCTGGCGCACAAGCACAACGCGGAGGGCCTCAAGGTACGTTTACATGCGTTTTAACGCCTGCCAAGATTGATGCGTTTTGGTGCCTGCCTGCCCGCGAAACTCGAGCGCCGAGACAATCATCGTTGGCGAATCACGTTCGAGTGGTTTGCGTTCTCTCCCCCATCACCGCTCGAACACAGAACAAGAGGAAATAGTTGATAAAAAATACTCCAAACTTGCTCACCGTAGCCGTATCTGGCGCACAAGCTCAAGGAGAACCTGAAGGTACGTCTGCTATTTAGCGCCTGCGGAACCCCGGCACGCTGAGACGATGATCATCAATCAGTTCACGTGGTTTGCACTCTTGGGGATTGAATTAACTCACATGGAAATCTGAATTAGTGGGTGGGTGACGCACGTAGATACCTGCGGTTTGTGATTGCCGTCACGAATACGTTTATTCGCACATCAACTATGTAGAACTATCACGAGAGACAGACAGACAGAGACAGACAGACAGACAGAGGCAGAGACTGAGAGAGAGACAGAGGCAGAGGCAGAGGGAGAGAGAAAGAGAGAGGGAGAGAAAGAGAGAGAGAGAGAGAGAGAGAGAGAGAGAGAGAGAGAGAGGTACTATAATAACCGCTTTCAACGACGACCGCAGGAAATCGCGCTGGACTTCGTGCTGGACAACATGGAAGGCGTCAAGGACACGGCGGGCTTCCTGGAGCTCAAGCAGGAGCCCGACCTACTCATGGAGATTATTTTCCGACAGGCTTCGTGATGTGTGATTGGTGGAGTAGTTTTTATGTTGTTGTTTATCTTGGCTGTTTTTTATGGAAAGCTGAGCAGCGCGAGCAAAATTGGCGGTCGCTGTGTATTTTTGCTCTGGTGTACAATAGGCGAGAATCGAAGGGAAGGCTTTTGCGTCCGTTGTGTGCCGCCGTCCGTCCCCCCATGCAAGAACGGGCGCGTGAGTAGAACACAGAAGTCTTGGGGGTAGAGGTGGTGTTCCGGCTGTTGCCTTCCATTCTCGCGTACGAAACTAGATGGCGGAGGGGGGCTCCGCCTGAGGGGAGGAGGCCCTGCCTAGGGGGGAAAGGGGGCCCCGTCTATCATTTCGTTGGAGGGGGGACTCTGCCTGAAGGGGGAGGGTGCCACGCCTAGGCGGGAAGGGGGCCTCGTCTGTTATTTCGTTCCTGTTGTCATCCTTTTCTCGTTCCCGTCAGCGTTCGAGGCCAGTGCAGCGACTTCTCGTGTCCTTGGGGGCCATCTGACTGACATGGATCGGTGTGTGGATATATGTTGTTTCTCGGAACTCATCTTCTATAGCACGCCTTTGCACGCAAGGACCGAAGAACAACGACCACACAGACGTGTTTGACGAGCGTCGGTGCTTGGCTTCTGGGGATATGTGCTGGTGTTTCTTGTTTTTTTTTGTGGACAGCTATTGTAGCTGAGAGAGACAGACGTGGTGGCGTCTTCATGCCTTGCCGTGGAAGAAGCAGTGATGCTACGGGATGGCGATGGCGGCGGCGTTTTTGAAACGGCATCATCGTCGCCATCAAGTAGCACGGCGGCATGGGCGGCGGCGACCAACAAAATCGCACGACGAGCATAAGAGCTATTAAATAGTAACAGTAAGAATATCGATGTCGATTGCGTGGCCGTCGAAAGCGCTGTTTTTCGAGCCTTTCTTGAAAACGCTGGAAAAGACTATCTTTTATATCTCACCCCAACTCATCCCAATTCTTTCTGAGAGGGGGGCGAGGGGACTCAGCCTGGGGTGGTTGTGTTGTATTTATTCGACATATGTCCCTTGTTTCGGACTAGCTTGTGTGATTCCACGGGGACTCCGTTGTATCGGCTTCGCGTGGTGGGCAAGATGGGGTAGTGGATGACTGTAACATTTTTGTGTTTTTTTCATGTGAACACCATAGCATTGGACAGCAGTGGGCAGGAGGAAGCAGTGGATAATGGTAGAATTTTTCTTTGTGTGGTGTTTTTTTTTCTCATGGAGAGCACCTTACATAGCAACAACCTGCGGATGTGTTCATCCATGCTCTTTTCGTTGTTTTTAAACCACCTTGGGGCCATCTTAAAACACTGATATAATTCCAGTGTATGAACACCTCGCAATACGCCCAGTTTTCGGCCGGTTTCCCTCTACTCACTGAAGAGACTTGAGCAGATCCCATTCGACTGTGGTTGTGTTTCGAACGGGTGGTCTTTCTGTGAGATTGTGTTTACTTTCTACAAAACAAGGGGGGCGTATACTACTTCGAAGCATGTTTTTATTTTTATGCTTTATGTTTGTGTGTGTGCCATCCCTGTGGACAAGGAAGGAGGGGGCCAAACCGTGGCTTGCTTGCTTGTGTGCATGCAGAGCGGTTGGTGCTTGTAGGAGTACGAAAGCTGCACCAACGGAAAGTTGGTTTTGCTAAAAGGCGAGGGGGGATGGCTTGGATCAGTTCTTGAGGCCTTTTCCCACCGCCGCCGCCGCCGCCCCGAAATCACCTACGTTTTGTGCTTGGGGGGTTGTTTGCTCATGTGTTGTATTGGTAGTTCGAGTTGTTTCGTATGTGCTTGCTGTGTCTTTTCTTTTGGTATGTCTTGCCATTGGGTATAGGAGGGAGGGTGAAGTACATTAGGTTGCGTGCTTGGCATTAGCATGGATTTTCGTGTCTCTTGTCTGACTTGTCTCCTCCCTCGTGCCCCCCTGGCGCGTATTTCGTCCATCATGGTTCCACGTGTGGGAGTGGGGGGGGGGGGTACCCATAGTCCGGCACGGGGGCGAGAGCGCGTCGATTTATTATAGTGGAGTTCGGAAACGACCGGTTTCCTTTTCCGTTTATAACCGCTCAAAAATAACATAATGCATGGCAATAGTGTTTTTCCCCCTGCACCCGCCTTGCTTTGAAGTAGCCAATATTTTTGTACTCATGAGGTGGAGGTGTAACCGAACACTCATTTGTAGTGGCATCACGTGTTGTTTGTGACTGAGGTTTCACAGTTGAACACCCAACACTGCTGTGTCGCACCCAGCAGTAGTTCAGATCGGTCGGGGTAGTGTCGGCTCTTTTGCGCAACACGTAGCGTACACATGCGACCTCCTGCGGCTTTCTCTTCTTGGGAGCACTCTCCGCCCCCCCCCAAAAAACATTTCGACGACGTTCTCTTGTTTACGGCATCCAGCAGCGGCATTCGTTCCAACCATTTCACTCACGGCGTAGGTGTACAAAGTCTGTTCCTACGGCGTGGTGGTGGCGTGCAAACGTTTACACGGCGTGCCGCAACCTGTAGAAACGTACACAAACCCCTCTCACGACAGTTTAGTACCAAGGCTCCCTCCATACGGCCGGGACCCAGAAGACGAGAAGACACGCACCATCCCTGGCAAGAAGGGCTCCTTGCTCCCTTAATGCTCTGCTCCCATCCCCTCCTGCATACATACCTCCAGTAAAGCTTAGTCTGTTCCTGAGTGTGGGTTGTGGCCCCCCCCCGCAATTTTCTTGAGACCCACGCAGGGGGGAGGGGCAAGCATCACGGCACTGGGATTGTTAGGAATGCCTACGCAAAGAGAGTAACAATAATACGATAAAACAAACAGGGAGGGGCCACGCAGGCGCTAACCCTAACCCCTACCCCGACTCTTGGCCGATTCTATGCTTTATCCAGCTAGGTTTGCTTACTGGAAAGAACCTGCGTAGACTGCTGATTCTTAGGCCGGAAAGAACTTTAAACTCCCTGTCGATGAATGGGGCGAAACAACGCTGGGGGCTTCTTGTGGCCGCTCATCTATTAGATCGACTGTGACGTCATGTGTATCCCGACACTCCGCACGTGAACGGGCACACAAGCCGTAAACGCTGAAAGACATGGAGCAGCCGCACCTCTACCCCCCCCCCCCCACCCGTAACACCATCTGTTCCTCAACACATTTTTTTCTGTGCGATGCGTAGACTAAAGCGCAGGACATGAACGCCTACTAAAAGTCCAACACCACACAATCACCCCCTTTTCTAACAATCGAGGCCACACCAAAGCACGCTCTATGCACAGGACGGGGGGGCGCGAGGTTCACAAACGCGATTCGCGGGTCCCCTCGGACGGGTATCTCCGCCCGTCACCACACTGGTGGGGGATAACCAACCACTGACGCGGTTACACACACAAATACTTTCTATCACGCACAAAAAAAACAAGCTTACTGGTACTTCTATCATTTCCTGTCGATGGGGAACAACGTGGCGCGACTGACGTGCTCGATTCAGCACCAAAAAGAAAACGAGAACACCATTGTCCGATATCCGGTTGAAGTCTTGATTGAACCTCTGGCAAAACGCTGTTGGTGCTCTCTAGCAAACCCTGCGAGCTTTGCAGACGTCGGTGGGTCTCCTCGCTGACGGACAACGTGCGCCGGCACGTCAAGTTCCTCCTCAAACGTCAAGTTCCTCCTCACACGTCAAGTTCCTCCTCACACATCAAGTTCCGCCTCACCGATGCGGGAAGAACAACGAGTTAGCACACACGGGCTTGGGTGTGCGCTACTACAACTCCTTGGCTTTGGCCACCAGAGCAGAAGAAGAAGAAGAAGAAGAAGAAAAAGAAGAAGAGGACCCTTTCGTCACCGCCACCACCCGCACCCGACCACCAACACCAACACCCCCGCCGCCGGCGCCGTTGAGAAGCGCCCCATGACCCTGCGGGCGGGCGCTCTTGGCGCCGCTACTAATATCGCCGCCCTCGACTACCATTCCGCCGCTGGTGCAAGCATGACTGCCAGGGGTACACGTGGAGGAGGAAACAGAAGACGTGTAAGCGTAACGGCCGGTTGCCCGTCGATCCACCGCCACTCGTGGCGTTCCAGCGCCAGCGATGGCGTTACTCCCCACCGGAACCCCGGGGGATGGTACGCTCTCATCCCCTCCCCCAGTTTTGGCTACTGCGGCCACGGCCGCCGCCGCCTTGCCCGCGAGGTCTTTCCCTGCCTCCCCCCCCCTGACAAGAACCGCGCCGCTGCTGCCGCCGCCGCCGCCGGCGGCCTCCATGGCGATCCCGGCCTGAATGGTGGCGACCTGGGTCTTGTGGTGATGGTGGTGGTGATGTGGGCTGTCGTAGCTGACGCTCGACAGGTAGGCCTGCCACGCCACTTGCACCATGCTGGCGAAGGACGGCCGGTAGGAGGAAGGGATGAACCTAACCCCGCCGCCCCCCCCGGCAGGTCAAAAGGGCGCGGAGAGTGTGATGATTTGTTGCAGGAAGGGGAAAGGGGACGGGGACGGCGACGACGATGAGTTGGCAGGTTATGCATGACCGCCGTAGTGTTGCCAGCGGGTCGGTCGGCGGGGGTGAAATTTGTTTTCGCTGAATTTCTTCGCGCCCGTCCCTGTCTCGAGAGGGTCTCGAGAGGGTCTCGAGAGGGATGCGTCGAAACGATAAGGCACGAAAGAAATGGGCACAACATTCCCACCTTGGCCCCCAGCGGGGCCTGAAGCATGCAAAATTTTCCTCCCTCCCGCAACCAGGAAAATAGAGACCCAGAAAAAGAAAGACGGGGACACGACTCCCAGATAGTAACCCCCCCCGCCCTTCGATGTTTGTCATCGGGGATGGGTTTTCGACGCTTGGCAACGACGTTGTAAAACAAGCCGCCCCCCCCGGTGTTTCCCATCGGGGTTGGGTTTTCGTCGCTTGGCAGCGATGTTGTAACACAAGCCGATCACTTCGTGACCTTGGCAACCAGGTTCCCGCTTTTTTTTTACCTCTGTTCGGATTTTGTTTCGCGGTACCCATGAGTGCTTGTCGAGTAGATTATGTTGTGCGCGGTCGAAAGCCCTCACTCCGAGCAAAAGGGATAATCGCACGTTGTGTTAAATCGGTCAAGCACCCTCGAGGCAGTTACACAGTGCTGGTACCTGTCTCTGGAAGTGAAAGCACCAGAAAATAAATGAAGTGTCATCCGTACGCAAGGAAGTAAGCACAAGATGCCGAACACCCTTAGCAGGATGCAGCGCACCCTTCATGCGACTCGCCGGATACCTCACGGCCCTTCGCGCTTGGTGATGTGAAAGCCTGGTCCGGTGAGAACCCGGCGTGTCCGTCCCGGCTTTGTAGGGATGCGAGGTCAACGGTCTAACGACTACGGCATGCACCACTATGAGTACCCCCCCCCCCCCCCCC